AATGCTGCTCGTGGAGTAGTGAAGTCAATAGAAAGGGGAGACGAGAAATCCATCGAGGCAAGGGGTGAAGTCCCAGGGTAATTAATTAAATGGCAAAATTCTCCTCGGCTCAAGTGATGCCAGGGTTTCTACTTAAGTATTTAGCATCCTGAAAAGTCTCCTAATAGGAACCCAAAGGACACAGTGAATAAAGCTTCGAGCAAGTAAATAATTCCAGCCCATCCTGAGCCCACGTAACACATTGTGTTCAGACAGGCACTTCATTCATTGCCTGCTTCAACCGGGCCATTGATGACATGCGTAGGGTTTAGAAAAAATTTGAAAACTATCTGTGGAGATGACTCTTGGACAAAGTCTTTAGGGGCCATCCACTGCAGCCAGAGAGAACTGATATTGCACTGGCCTTTTATCAGCAAGATAATAAGCTTAGAGGGGGACAGAGATGACTCTCTGGATATAAGTGATATAAGCTGAATCTGTAGGAGAAAGGTAACAACTTAGAAAACAGTCCCTGAAGGCTCACCTTTCAAACCACAAGGCTTCTGTCTCGTATTAAACTCTGCAGATTGCTTTACAGAAGCTTAATGTTTCTATCTTTCAGTGCTTCCCCCCCAGAGTGACATTCAGCTTTTGTTTTGGCCGTTCCAAAAACTGATTAGAACGTGTTCCCTGGAAGGCTTTTTAGCAAAACTAAACAGTTAGAGGAAAAGGTCTCAGTACTTGAATCCAATTCTTGCGAGGGTATGACCTGCCCTTCCAGGTTTCAGCCAGAATCATTAAGAAGTGATACATGAAACTTTCCTTCTGGGAGATGGAAGGATTTAGTGATCAGCGGAGATGACTCACCCAGGAGCACAACTGCTGAAGTTTGCATTTATTTTGGTGGTGAAAATAAGAAGGGGGGAAAGAAATCTCAAGGAGAAAGCAACAAAAGGCAAAGATCCTCGTTGTCAAGATTAAAGCAGTGGTGTGCAAACCCAACACTCTGGTGATGCCCAGAGCTGAGAGGGGGTGTCTGTGAGCAGGAGCCTGACTGGGCTGCGTGGCTGTGCCCAGCAGGAGGGCTCAGATGTCATTTTAATTTCATCTCACCCATGTTACATAGATGTTTTCTTCTCCATAAAGAACTAATTCGAGTGAAGAGCATGTTTTAGCCAATAGATCAGTGGAAAGTCAGGCCCTGCTGATCAGCCAGTGTCCCTTTCAGGGGACCTTTCCCTCCCTTCCTTATCCTATAATTGTTCGTAAAACAAAGACGTATTTTTGCTTATCAAAATACCCATTGCCAGGCTTAGACTGGAGTAAGGAGGTTATTGCTGTGTCCAGCTAACCTCTTGCAGCAAAGAAAGTGCAAACATGGCCTTTATTCTGTGCATTTCCTGGAGGAAAGGAGATCAGACAGGAATTCAGATAAGAAGACTAATGCTGTTGCTGTTCTTCATATTCTGTGAAGTATTTTAATGGGGATAACAATACACATTAGACATCCTGTTCAGTAACAGTTTTAGTACCCAGCTGAGTCCAAATATAAACTATAATGGCATATGGAGACTGTCTTAAGAGCCATTTCAAATAATTTAGTTTTATATAGCGTCTCTCAAAGTCTCTCAAGGTGATTTACAGTGAAAAAGCAAATAGTGGGCTAGTGATTTAGTAGAGTAAGGCATGGCAGCTGTCAGGCAGGAAGGCAAAAATGCTGCATGGAGATGCAGAGCTATAATTTAAAAGCAGTACAAAGCTAAATATATCTCTTTGCTCTTCCAGCACAAGAAGCAGCCAGGTAATGAAGCCAGGTTGGGTTCAGTTGAACTCAACTCTTCAGTGGAGCACTGAGGTCACTTACAGACAGAACTGGAACCTAAACCTGAGCCTTTTCCACTCAACTGCTGAGATTAGGAAAAAAAAAAAAATAACAGGGAAGAAATATTTGTGACCAATTCATTTTAGCAGTTTTACCATCATATTTCACAACCTCAGAAATTTTAGACTTCCTGTGGGTTGGACTTTTGCCTTACGGGCTTATTAAGTCAAGAAGGCAGCTTAAAGTACCTTTTCCAAGGCAATTGTTAAAACATAAAGCAAATTGCTTAAAGGAGCAAGATTCCAGTCAAAAAACCTTGACCTTGCTGGTGTGGCAACCACTGGGCTACTCCTGTGCACGGAGAAAGAACAATCCTTCAGAGAATGTTCCAAGGGTGTGTCCAGCTACAGGACAGCTCCTCTGTGGGTTCTCCTTCTCCTGCTCACCACTCAAGTGAAGCTGCTAAGGAAGCCATAAAAATGCTTATTTATCCTCAGCATGAAGATCACATATACTAATGTCTTCTTCACCCGGGAAAGGACCTTCTTTTCCTTTCTGCTATGTTTTATTAAACAAAGTTCACGTTCCCTATGCAAATGAATGCTCTTTGGAATGATGATACACTGACACATTGTATGTTAAATATGTTTGACATTTAGAAACCTTAGAAAGAACTAAAAATCGCTCATAAATATTAAAGAGCTCGAAGTCTACTTTTTGTTTTCGTTTTGCTTCTGATCCTGCACTCTGAGAAAAATACTCCTCACATTCTAAGACTGAATTATCTGTCCAAGAACTAAACCTATAATTTTATTCTATCAGTCAAGCTGTATGTCACACTATTTTTATATTAAGACAATCAGGTTCTTTGAAGCACAGACATACACCCACTTAAAAGAAACGTTCAGCTGAAAGCAGAAGAATCTGGAATCAGTGGCAATTTGTGCCTTTCAAGAGACTGATAACTAAATGGAGAAATGCAGATCCTAATGAAAATAAGGTTTCTTTGCTGGCCAGGATGATATTCCATTAGGGTATCTGGGTCCAGATTCATCCCTTTGGACTGCAAGCTTCTAACCTGGCTTGGAATCACTGACTGCTACTGGCTTGAAATGCATCCTTTGGAGATAATTATTTATCTTTCTTGACAAGAAAGGGCTGTAGGCCATCTGCACTCCTGAGTACCTTAGTCAGGTACCTAAAGCAATATCAGATTAATCCAGGCCTTGCTCTGGTTGTTTAAGCACTTGTTGTGTGGGAAGCCTGGTAGAAAATCTAGGATTCAACCCGTTGTTACAGCACAGTCACCCTCGCCTCTAGGAAGTATTTTGTGCTGCACAGGGCTTACACATTGCTCTGGGAAGAAGCAGAAGTTTCTCACTAAGGAGAAAAAGTGCAGCAAGACCAATGCAGACATTAAAGCACCACCACCAGGGAGGCAGTTCTGGATTACACATGAAGGAGCAAGTTGGAAGGCACCCCTGGAGCTCATCTGGTTTCCCTCTGCCCAAAGTTGTTAAGGCAACTTGCAAGTACCAGAAAAGTTCCAGGACTGACTGTAAATACGCTGTTCCAGTTTTACATACTGGAAAACCAGGTACAGGTCAAATAAGAAGTACAGGCCACGGCAGAGAATGGAAACTCCAGCTCAGAAATACTAGATTCCCAGTATTTTTCCTTCCTGTAACACAATCCACCATCCAGTAACCATTTTTTCCTGATGAAGAAGCCACTGTTCTCAGATTGGTCTTCACTGCACATCCACTGAACTATTCCATGTGCTTCTGGCTGCACTAGGGATGGCAGGAGGGCCATGGGACAGCAGTGAAGGGCTCTGGCACCTGGAAACCCTCACCATCACTGGCTGAAGAGAAGCAGTGCTATCCTCTCACTTTACTAGCTCTGCTATCAGCAAAACGCCTTTCCCCATTTTTCCCGATGGGAACTGGAGCAGTGGCAAGTATTTTCCCCCAGTATTTGTCCCTCTGTGGACAGAAATTTTAAAACAAAAGGCCATTTGGGTGGATTTAAAGAGCAGTGGAACTCCATGCCCCTAATGAATGGGCAGCAGGAACTGGTGCTGGCAGCGCTCGGGGGCTGCACACGAAGCCAGCCAGGCTCAGTAAACGAAACCAGATCCCAGAATGCAGCCCGAGATAACCGAAAGTTATGCGCCGAAATTTATTGTAGGAAAATGACTGACTGGAAAAAAGAGTGGTCTGCTCTGCCCCTGCCCCCTCCAAAACATATTGTACCAGTTAAACTCTCTGGAAAGGCATCTGCCGAAAACGCGATCCATTCTGCTGAAGGTCAAACGCACCTCTCTCGTAAAACGGCCCAAGCAGCAATTGTGAGGCTTTGATTACTCTGACCAAAGCAACTTAGGAAAAACCCTAGCGCTGCTCTGGTGTTTGAAGCTGGATGTTTACTGCTTACTGGCAGCGGCTTTTGCTGCAAAGGTGAAGCGCGGTCAGGAAACGATCGCGACCGCCCCAAAACAGAGGGCTCGTCCCAGCGCAGCCCGTCCCAGATTCCAGCGGCGGGTCTGTGTCCCTGTTTGGAGTGCCACCCTGTGGACATGGCTGCTCCCGTGGGCTCCCGTCCTCCCCACAGCCCCGGTGGGCAGCACTCGCAACCACCGCAGTGGGCACAGGGGTGGGGGGCATCACCTCCCGACCCCAAACCCTGCTGCCTCCTGCCAGCCCTGCGTGTCCCTGGATACCCTGGGGGACACCATTACCGCGGGAGGAGCGGGAGTTTTGGTGCCGAAATGCAGCGTTACAAAAGAGCGTGTTTTGCCAGCCCTTTCCACACAGCAGCACATGAAGTGCCACCACCACTCCTGAGCTGGGGAGGGAATAACTGGGGCATCTGTTGGTGACACTGAGGTCCTTTGCATCACACCACAGAGCAGAGCCTCGCACACCCAGAACCCAGAAACCAGAGAAGCCCCCTGCTTGCCCACAGATGAATTAAGCCCCTGGTAAGCTCAAGTTCATCCTTAGAAGTCAATTTCTGGATTGCATTATCATTTTTTTTTTCCCCTCTCTGACTATTTGTATAAGACTTGCAGGTTTATTCACTGGAGATTGCCACCATAAATTTTAGGAGTCTGGCTCACAAAGCCTATAACAACCTTGTTTAGCAAAGGTGTGCCTTGCAGCATTCCTTCAGTAATGCCACTTTGGCTGCCCCTTACCTCTGGGGTGAGGTATTTCATCATGATTTCCTTTCCTTTCTCTCCCAGCTTTTCATCTGGAGCAATTTCATATTCTGCCTGGAACAGACACATAAAAAATAAAAGTCAATATTTGCACTCATATTTCACCATTATAACTTCATTTTGGATGTGGCCTTAACAGAACACTCTGTATGAAAAATCCAAAGGATAAATATCATTTTCTGGTGGAAGTAAAACCTGTACATGCAGTCTTATTAAAAACCTGCCACTTTATTTTCACCAAATCCTAGTGGTGCATTTTCTGAGGCTATGTCTCTTAATTAAGACCAACACAATTTAATTCATTTATGTTTTATAGCCTTGCCAAGCCAGCTTTCAGAAAGCATTCAGTGACAAGAGAAGTCAACTTCATTTGGTTTTGCTCAAAAGGAAGGTGGACACAGAAGGTAAAATTATGGTCCAACAATACTTGTGCAAAGCAGGGGCAGTTTCAGTGATCCTTGACCCATTCCCTCCAGCAGGCAGATTTCTCAGGATCAAGAGTAAACAAGAGATCCATTTAGAGGAATGGGCACCGTGAGCAGAATTCTCTTTGGCTTCCCTAGTGCATTAAAAAGGGAGCATCTCACATACAAAGTTTACCAACAATTTAAAATTCTGACTATTCTA